CAGCACATAATAGTAGTTCTAATTAAATATTAATTTTTCTCACTTCACTCTTGAGTGAATCAGCGCTAGCACAGGCACTTTTGGGAAACAGTACAGTTAAAAAAAGGCAAACAGAACAAATTTATCAGATTATTTCAGCTGCTTTAATTTGCAGGCCTGGCATCCAAAAGAACTGTATGCCAGAAAAAAAATCAATCTTTTTTAGCCTGCTACATGAATGAATGGCTGGGAGGTCCATGACTAATGCCTAATCTTCTCCTCCTACTACTCCACCCAAAACATTCTGCAATATATAATAAATTCTGCACATTCAAAGATGTGTTTAACTCACAAAATGGTAATATTAACCAAAATCTCATTACTGAATGGCCTTTTAACAACTTTCAGTCAGAAGATGTTCCCCCAGTCATCGTAAGAAATGCACATACCAAATACTTCCAATCATTAGACTGAGATCATAGGGTGCAGGAATGTCTATCAATCACAGGGCTAAAGATACTGCAGCAGAATTTCCTGTTCCTAAACTCACTTCTCAGATCCCCACACAGTCACAGAAAGCAACTTCTCTTAAAACCTGCATTTAAATCTGCACACCATAAACCAACAAGGAAGCGCACAGGTACACACCATGGCACATGATGAATGATATTCTGACTATCTGAAAAGGTGGATAAATCGCACATATAGTGGATAAATATCTCATGCCTTCTTAACCTATACAAAAACCAGGCAGTAGTTTTCATGGTGGCTAATTTGACATCACATTGGCACCCAGTACTTGAACACACCATTTCACAGTAGTGCTGCTATTCCATGGCCCCACTTGCACAGACTTGCAGGCTCCTGCTCTGGTAAAAGTGAAGGAGATGCACGGTAAACAGTTCAGCATAGGCGGTTCTCAATAAATTCATAATCATTGACACATAAATTATCAGCTCCTCCTTCAAAGGAGTTGCTACTACAGAAAAGATATGCAACCTGGTAAATGGGAAATAAAATGTGAAGATTCAGCTGCATATACACTAATTGGATAAAATCTTTCAGTATCACATGGTACTTTGTAGGGATGGAGCAATTGAGATACTCCAAGCCACCATCCCAGTGTATATACTTTAAGCTGCCAGTTTTCTGTACTTGCACTCCCACAGTATGTGATCCAAACTGCAAAGGATTTTGTTGCTCTAAAATAAAGACAAACTCCAAATCACACAGCTGAAAGGTTACACAAGATTTGTGCAGTCTTAATCCTTGCTCGTGATAAAATGCTTGAAATTCTGAGTTTACAGAATAATGTAGTTCTCCACAAAACTTGTGTAAGCACTTCTTGACAGGCAGAGTACCACAAGTTGAGCACCCCTTTACTGGGGCGCTGCCAGTTTTCAGCAGGCAGTGGGCCACATGCAGCAGATACATTAACCTCCTCCCAATACAGGCAGCATCACTGCCCAACAACCTATAAAATCATAAACCATCTAAATTAGAATCATATTCAGGCTGGTAAGAAGAAGGTGAAGAACTAGACCAGCAAATGGCAATCAACAGCAACTGTTGCTGTTTGCTGTACTACTCTGGTTAAATTAAAGGGAGTTCTGTCCCACACAGCGTACAACCACAGGTACACTCCACTCACACATATGCATTTCATGACACTGTATGCATGTGTGTGTACATGTGGTGTATTATAAACCTTGCTTCATGTGAATAGGCTGCATAAGCAATTTATATGGCTGTAAAAGCTAACACTAAGGACATAGGGCAGGCTCCATTTTCACTCATCATCAGAAGTTCCCTTAGGAAAAAAAAAAAAAGAAAAAAAGCACGGGAGGTTGAAGTCAGTGCTGTCAGCTCTGTGATGTGACCTTTGTACTGTTCATACAAGACTAGCATTAATTAGGTCATTCCACTTACATCCGGTAGCAGCTCTCTGAGGGAAGCAGTTTCCCCCACTACCAACTTCTGAACTCAGACCGATAATCTAACGCCTTCCTAAGACATCATTTGCAAACAAATCCAAACAACAAAAGTCACATACCGCAGCAAAGCGGTGCCACTCAGGGGAATGTGACATGCCAACCCTGCCATTTTGAAGCCATTACCTGCAGAGCCGAGGCTTCGAGGCCAAAGCTGAACTTCTCCCAGAGCCCAGTGCTGTCAGGGGCCTTGGTGAGCACAAAGGCAGCGTTGTGGACAGACACGTTAATGGTGGTCTCACTGGATGCCAGCTTGTTTTCAGGTGGAAACTGTAAGAAGAGGGCATAGGAACCAGTCTCACTGGAGAAGTGGAGGCTGTAGTGGTTCGTGCCCACGTCCTCGCTGAGGCTCTGGGGCTTGATGCAGGGCACATGCACGAGCAGGGTAAGGGAGGTCTCATCCTGCCGGCACTGGAAGGGAGGGCACAGGCCAGCCTCAGGGCTGCCGGAGTCCCGGGGAAGAGCCATCTCGCCAGGGATGCCCCCCACGGCCAGCAGGGCCGGGTTCCCGGGAAGGCACAGAGAGGCGTCCTCGTCAAGGCCGCACGTCACGGCCTGCTCGGGGCTGGAGCACAGAGCAGGGGAAGCGGCGCCGGAGCAGGGCGGTGACAGGTCGCCGGCGGCGGCTGGGTCGGCGGGCGGGTCGGCGGGCTCCCCGCCGCCGCACGTGCTCTGGGCCGTGCCGCCGCTGCCGCCTCGGGTAGGAGCCGCCCCTCCACCAGCCTCAGCACTCGGTTCGGCCTTCTCCACTCGCTCCCCGCCCAGCTCTAGCGGCTCCCGTGGGCCGGGCTGCGGTACCACGGGCAACGTGACCACAAGCTGCCGCTGGGCTTTGTTGAACGCGGCGCTGCCGCGGCTCTCGTCTACGTCGTAAGGGAGGCGGAGGCGAAGGCGGTAGGCGGGACGCTGCGAGTCGAGGCGCAGCTCCCGGCCGCAGATGTTCAGGTCAGCCTGGGCGGCGGAGCGCAGCAGCGGAAGCTCCACCGTCACCACCAGCTCCCGTGGCACCGGGCTGGGCGCCGAGTCGCGGCTATACCGGTAGTCTTGCAGGTCCACGTAGGAGCGGTGGCGGATGCTCCAGCGCGGCGTGGTGGGGCCAGGAGGCCGTGCCGGCTGCGGGGGGGCGGTTGGCGACGGGGCGGCTGGCGACGGGGCGGTGGCAGCAGTGGGCGGAAAAGGGAAAGGTGGCAGTGGAGAGTCACCGTCGTCGGGCTGTGGCGGGGCACCGCCGGGCAGTGGGGTGCGAATCACGGGCGCCTGCGGGACGCCCTTGTACTTGGTGCCGCGGAGGACGACGGCGTTGGCGCGGTCGAGCTGCACGGAGCAGTGGCGCTCAACAGCATCCAACGCCGTGTCGCTGAGCAGGCGGCGGAAGCGGGCGTTGCGGGCTGCCAGGCGGAGCGCCGCCGGGTGGAAAACCACGTCGTAGACCACGCGGCGCTGGCCCCCGCGGCTCAGCTCCTCGCGACCCGGCGCCAGGCTGTAGGGAAGGGCCCAGCGGTGGCCGCCGTGCTCGGCTCGGGCCTGCGGCGCCCCGATGTGCGGGTTGCTGCAAACGTTGAGGTAGCAGCGGCGGGAGCCGGCCTGGCTGGTGCGCAGCACGTAGCCCGCCTCAGGGTGGATGAAGCGCACCTCCATGCCGCGCTCCCGCTCCAGGGCCGTCACCTCCTCCTCGTACAGCCGACGCTGCTCCGGGTCGGCCAGCTCCGCCGTGTACTCGGCGAACAGCGCCCGGAACTTCTCGTCGCGGAAGGCCCGCTGCAGCCGCTCCACCTCCTCGGCACTGAGCTCCAGTTCTTCCAGCTGCCCTGCGCCCGCCATGGCTCCGGTCCGGCCCAGCAGCTCTCGTTGCTGTGGAGACACTAAACAAGATGGCGTCTCCGGCCTGGACAGGCTCGTTGCTATGGTGATAGTAAACAAGATGGCACCTCCGGACCCTGCCAGCCAGTTGCTACAGAGACGCCAAGCAACATGGCGGGCTCTCCCGTAGTGGTCTTCCTCAAGAGCTGATTCCCCTCCACCCAGAGCCCTTCATCCCAGCCTCGCTGAGCCCTTCCCGTCAGTGACTTCGTGGTGGTTCTCAGCCCTCACCCGTCTTCCACAGGGATGGCTCTCTCCCATTGCCTTCTCATCCCTCTGCAAGACCCTTGCTCTCCCCATCTCTGAGCTGCTTTCCCCTCCCAGCAAATGGTCAGCACATATGCATCAGAAATGCCAGTGCAACCTGTCCTGTGGTTTGATTTAGATCTGCGGCAGTTCACTTCTTGTACCTGGCGTCCATCTACACCCTGATGGCCCCTTCCAAAGCCCAACCCCACTGTCTTCTCTTGTTTCTGGCCCCAGAGCCACACTCAATGCCAGCCCAAAGGGAAGGGGTCTGCAAAACAAAACAGCTGGTACTAAGGGTCCCCCATGTCTGTTCCACATCTGGTCTGGGGACTTTGGGGTAGCACCAGTCTCAATGCCCAAGAGCTGCTGGAGCAGTTTTTTTCTTAGTTTTGTCAAAAAATGGTCCAGGTTCACATGTCAGCAGGCTGCTCTCTGTCGTAAGCAGATCAGCTGCTGATGCAGACATTTGTGCTGACAGGCCCTGACCCTTTCCCACCTTCCTGATTGCTCCTTCAGCAAGGTTTCCTTCTCCTGACCTTCTGCAGAAGTTTCAAAAGACCATGTCCTTGGTCCCCTTACATCTCGCCCTGTCTGAAAACAGATTATATACTGCCATCAGTAAATAATACCTCAAAAATCTTCTCTAGACTTTTCCTGTCCAAAGAAAAATCCTAGTCCACAGTTCAGCATCTCCTGTAGGTAACTAGCTCTCAGTTCAACTCAGCATGGTGGAAGACAAAGTTCTGTCTTTAACTCTTTTTTTTTGATGTATCCTGTTTGTACATCCTGTTTGATAAACATGCATCTGGTTCCTCCAGTTGCTTTTTTCTATTGTGCTTTGCTAATTGATCTTCACTGTGGTTCTGCACTTCACGTAAACCAGCACAAGTATCTTTTCTGTAAGTGTGTGTACAAAATACACCATTTTTGACCTTGACATTTATTAAGAACAGTCTGTAATACATTGTAAAATCAATCCACCTGAAATGGGTGCTACAGTTGGCTTTACAAATACTTGCTTCCTTTTTGCAGTCTCGCAGAAATTCAGAGACCCTGAAGCTTGCTGAAAATACAAAACAAAGAGAATTTAGTGGGGTTTTTTGAAAGATAATTCACAGTATTATCCTATTTTTCTGATCTATGAGAGACTTGATAATGTTTTCATTTATTTAAAGACCAAAAGCATTTGACAGTATGATATCTTCTGTATTTTCTATATCCAGGTAAAGGTTACATGAAGTCCCTTGGGAGGGCTGGGGCTGTTACGCACTCCCATTTGACAAAAACACAGTTTCTGCAGCAAGGCAAGAAATAATCAGACAAGGTAAGTTTGAATTTTTCCCACTGGGTTATACTATCGTTATTTCACACAGGCAAATTTTCATCACAGTTTTAAGCCCTCTAATACTTTTTAATAATCTCTGGCATTGCAGCTGGCCTTTTTTTTCCAGTCATTGGAAAACCACAGTTGGAATGAATAAGTACAGGTTTAAAATATATGAAAGCAAAGTATGAGAGTGGCTTCTGGTCTTGATGGTCACAAAATGAACCAAGAATTGTTCCTAAGTGTAAATAACCTATGTAACAAGCATCATGTCCAAAAATGTCTGTGTTTCCCAATGGGGACTCAATTACTGAAAGCCATATAGTACAGTGTATCTTTCCTTTTACTTTTGGATCATGCTTTTCATCATTGTTATTTGACTGCATTTCCTAAATTTATTGTTTTAGGTCTAGGCATTTGGATTTCTTTAAGTATGAAGCACAAGTCTATGTTAAACTGCTAGAACATTTACTCTCTTTATACAGTTGATGGTCTGTGTTCCTCCTGATAACTAAAAAGTCAGCAAATAAGAAGATACTTCCTTTTAAATGAGAAAGTGTACATATCTACCTGTCTTCAGCTGTCTTGTTGGAGGGGTAGAATACCTTGAATGAAAATCCACTTCTTGGAAATGAACCCTGAAAGAAAAATGTATATACAAAACTTGCATTAAGTAATGGACTCTACAAAGAGTAAGAGACACACTTGAATGTGAGTGTATCTCCTTCTTATTTTCGTAAAGCATAAGGAAATCTTACAGGATTTATGCAAACACAGTCAGTGTTGGTGACAGTGAAGGGGTCATATTTATCTGCAATCACGAGCACATCTGGCACAGGGTATACCCTCAGGGAGTAGTCATAGGCCCAGTACACTGGGCTAACATACAGTGGAAGTGGCGTCAGATGTCCCTGTGATAATATGGTCTTTACAAACTGTAAGATGAAACATAAATAGTTAGTTTGAACCATTTTCTACAAGTCAAATTAATTCCTGCACATGCTGATATGCAGGAATATATTAGGGATATATATATATGCAGGGGTATTCTTAATAAAGAAACTTTGAACTTGGAAATGGGTTCTTTTGTGTGTTTCCCACTCCCTCCAATTATTAATGATTTCTGTCATAAAGCAGCAGCTGTTTTGTTTGTTGTGCTATGTTTTGGGTTTCTTTTAATACACAAAGTCCTTCCTTAATATTGGTATAGCAGCCAATCTTTGAAGCTGTCAAAGTTATGTCATTGATCAAACTCTCCAACAGAGAATCTGCTGACCTGTTCCTCCAACCCAGGAAGTACCAACATTGCCGTAACTTTCATGTCATGTTTTTTTGGAGGGGAGGAGGGTTGGTTGATTTGTTTCTTATGGCTTTCCTCACAGTACTAGTTATCCATAAGACCCACACTTAGACCACATTTTCTTCCTTGGAATGAGGAAGTAATTTGATTCCCAAATGATTTTTATTCTTTTGTCTATTCTGGGAGTTGCCCAGCTCCAGACACTATCTGTCCCATGAAACTCTCTTTTTCATCTGCCAAATTCTAGCCAGGGTATTTTGGTTCCTGAACCTCTCCTCAAGCCCCTTGAAAGTTTTTATTATTATCTCTAACTAATCATGTAGCTACTCTTAAGCTCCATTTTCCCCAAAGCACCAACGTCACTACAACAACTTGATGGAATGGTCTGCTGCTGAAAGAAAATGATGTACCAAGCACAGGCCCAATTATTCTGCTTAATACTGCACAAGGCCTAAAGACACTAATAACTCAATGTAAAGGCAGTAACAAAATTTCCATATTCTATTCATCTTTTTACACTGATGGCTGAACTAAAGAAACAAGTGTCAGGCAAAAAAACACAGAGAAAAACTGAAGCATGCTAAAGCCACCAAATTCTCTTATCTGCAGAAAGTGTTGCAATACACAATTCTACATTTCCTTCATGATTCCTTCCTTTCCAAGCATGGGAAAGCCATGTGAGAGTACAGGGAAGGGATGGCTTGCAGCATACACATACATGGATGCAAACATACACACCAAAACAAAGGTATTTCATTGTCCATAGTGGATTCTCTGTGTTCACAAAGGAACTGAGCATTGTCATGATGGAGTGAAGGAAGAAAGGGCTAAATGAAGTTTGTGAGTCAAACAAACAGAAGTATCCCTATAAAATAAATAGAAATAAACTCCACCCATCACTGCAATGAGCCAGTACTGCCTGGATCTCTCTCATTGTATTATATCAGGCAGTCCCATCAACTCCTACTGTGCATTCATTAACTAGAATTTAACTCAGCGTGCTGTGGTGATGTACCAAAAGCAGGATTAAGACTTCAAGTGAGAAGGCAAAGGAAGCAGATGACCTTTTGAAAAAGTGACATGCTGCTTTACTCCAAATGTCACTGGATAATACATCAAATCTTTTTCTTTCTTTTTATTTTTTTTTTTTTAAAGGTGTTAAACCTTGCCTGTAGGAATCAATGTATTTTGGTATGATATTCCTTGCTGGTGCACATACACCAGCTGTCAGCTGATATGACATTCTGCATTCAAGAGCACCTGCAGAGGGACAGTCAGAATGACTCAATGCCATCATTGGTATCATGGTTTCAGTTATTTTACTGTCAAGATGGAAAGGAAGGTAATAGTAGTAAATGCATAGATCCTTTTTAAAATCCCTCTTGGCTACTCCAGCAATGTGTGGTAAGTGCAGATCAGAGCACCCTAAATGCTGGCCTGGTGATCAAAACCAAAAGTCAAGAAGTTCTTAGCAAGAAGGGCTGAACACAACTAACTCACATGGTTGGGAATGTCCATGTTGCTGCTGGGGAAGCGGACACAGTTTCTGCACATTTTGTTTACCAGATCTTCACGGAAGATAATTATTTCCTGGGTGCAATACTGAATCCTATGTGGAAAACATCAACGAAATCAAGTAAATTAAGATGAAACTAAAAGATAGGGACCTGCATTATGAAGTTGATCGCCCTCTATTAGAACAAAATAAATAAGCACATTTGAATTAAAATACCACTTTTCTTCCCTTCAATAAACACAGTATTTTTTTAGCAGTATTTTCATACTTGCTATCAAACTTTTAGCACTACTTCCTTTCATCAATAATTGATTTATATATTAATTTATTTAAAACTAGTTGCAACTAATGCAACCAAATAATTCTATTCATTTGAAAATATTCAAGACCAATGTTTCCAAAATTTGGTATTTTAAAAAAGTACATATGCATGTATGTTAGTCATTCAGTTAAAAAACAACCAACATGAAAAACAGCAGTAAGTTGCACTGTTACCTGCAAGGATTTGTGGTGAAAACTGAAAATGGCACCAGCTGTCTGAATTCCTGAGTAATATTTTCAGCCAGGGGAGGTCTAAAATAAATAGAAACAGATCTATCAACAAAGACACTTTCTCTAACTCAAAATTTCAAAATATAAGAAAATGAAGCAAACTGACCTTGGTAAAACGGAACCAGGACCAGGGTCTTCAGGGCCAGGTACAAACACAAATCGACTACTGTAAAAAGTTCAATAAATCACTTTCATACAAAATCATCTTAAAAGTATCTAAACATTGGTCACATACTGCCATTTCTCCACAGATGCATGCAAATAGCTTATTCTGGGGCAGAGATAACAGCTCTTCCTGGCCTTAAGAACCACATAAATCACAGCTAAGGCATAAGATACATATCCATTCCTCACTAAAGTGGAAGAAACCTTAAAAATTGTTCACTGTGCAAGGGGGACTGACTGTGAGAAGGGAGATAGACCAGGTTGTGGCAGCCTGGCTCTGAACTTGCTGGTAATGGGCTCCACTATCCCATACAAGAACCTCAGGTAATTCAGCAGTGGCACATCATAAGAGCCCCACCAGGACAGGGGAGATACGCTTCCTTACACTTCACATGAGCTCACAGGTTGTGGGCTGTGGCCATTTCTGCTTTTGGGTCTCATTCTAGAAAGTAGATCTGCTTAGGAGCTGCTGTTATGAATTCAAAGATCAGAAGCCAGAAAAGATAAGCCTGGCTGCCATCTTATTTTACTTTCCTTTGTATATTCAGAACTCTGTAGAAGGGATTTTGTTCTTCAGGCCTGAAATGGGGTTCCCATAGACCAGGGACACAAGAAGGAATAAACAGATTCCTTTGCAAGATTGTGTTACTTTGGCTAGTTCTTAAACTAGCAAGCCATGGAGAACCATGTATGCAAGAATGGAAAAGATAGAAATGTCTCTGTCAAGAGAGCAGTCAAGTGTTTCAGACGACATTTTTTGTGGCTGGTACAGAAAGCCTGTACATGCTCATAGCAGCATCAAGACTTCAACATCAGTTTATAAAGCAACACTGTTCAGACAGAACCTGTTGATTTCAAGAGGATTCCAGGGGAAAGGGCTCACACAAATAGCACTTTTGGGGAATCACGGACCATGCTTAATCCATGTGAAACGTGTTTCAGGAAGAGGCAGTTTACCTTTGCTCACTCAATAGCAGCTTCCATGACCAAGCTATTTTAGATAAAATCAAAAGCTTACACAGCTCCCAAAACAAAATTAGAGTCCTGTTACAAAACCACCCTGCTATCTGATCATAGCTGGCTCACAATAATGAGAAAATATAGTATTTGTTAGTCTCAAAGTAATTAAACCAAAGGCTCACAAAATAAACAAATTTCCCTCTTCATTGCACTTTGCTGTGTACCTTTTATGAATGCTGGGATATCCACATATAATATCTGCAAGAGCCTTCAAAGAACCTAAGAGTCAGAAAAAAACCCCATCTGGTTAGACAATACGACACCTAGTTAGACAATGAAAACACATTATATGAATCACCCCTAAACTTCAGTACATTAAAATATGTGTCACTTAGAAAATAAGCGTTTCTTCTCTCCTCTCTTTATTTGTTTTGTCATCATTATTTTAATTTAATATACTCGTCTGACTGTTCACAAAGACTTCCCTACCTTTCAGTGACCGAATTTGATTTTTTCCATATGGTGCAGATGAAAAATTCCCACAAAAGAAAAAGCAGGTTGGAGGCGCAGCTGAATAACCTGGTGAAAGAGAGTATCTGTGAGTACATCCATTCCCTTCATCATCTTTCAGCATTCAGCCTCCAGACCATTCCACGAAAGGCAGAAACTGAAACAGCACTTCAAGCTCTGCTGCTATTAATACACCTGAACTATTTTCTTGATACCAGCTTTTGTTAGTTTAAAAAGGGTGATAGCAACATACAAATGTCACTAAAAAGAGCCCTTTGTTATTTAAAGACCCAGTTTCAACAATATTCATTGTGTGTATACAACTAACTACTGACCCAGTCACTATAACTGTACTTTGTGTCACTATATAAATAATACACTTTAAAAACACGCTATTTCCTTTAAGAGAAAAATAGCAAGTAGTACAAATGGGTTACTATTAACCTCCATGCATCATTTTAGTTGAAGGGCTATGCCAACATTAAATTCACTCTTTGGCATTATAAAGCAACAGGAACTGGAATTGCGTTAGCATTTTAAGAATCTGAGGAATCCTCACAATACCACTTATCACCCAGAAACTCACATTTTTTAGCAAAAAGAGAAAAAAGAAATCTGACTCCCATCCCTAAAATAAAAATATCTACTCATTCATGCATCTCACATTCCAGGTTACTCTCCATTTTCCTAACATGCAGTACCAGACCTGGATTTACTTCACTATTCTTCACTCTATTTGGTAAATAGGACAGAACTGTTTATGCCAGAGAAATGGCTCATCAATGTTTTTGCCTTGCTATTCCACTCAGCTATTATTTTCTAGTTTATAATTATGAAGTTTATTGCTTGCCTCTTTAAAAACGTCTTGAAACAGTAAATGCAATGTATGCACCTTTGCCAATAGTGCTCAGCGTATTAATATCAGTCACTAAAGTCCCTTTATTACTTCAGTACACAAAAAGCGAGGCCAAGTTCAGTTTGCTTCAAGAATCTTGACAACTTTGATCAAGACAATGAACTGGTTTTGTAACTTTTGGGTGAGTGTGGTAATTTGTATCCTATTTTCTTCATGTGAGTAGCAATTTCCACCCTTAATTTTATGGGTTTTATTTTTAAAGCAGCCACCCTCTACCACTTCCAATCTACCTAGAACTGAAAGGACAACCTGTTCCAAAACTGCCCTGGAATAACAAAGAAGCAATTTTCACAGGCCTTGCAGATGCTTGCTATCAAAATGTTGTCAACATTACTAATGTAATGATACAGGGAAGAAACAGTTCATATTCTAAGAGCAACCGACATTTTTTCTCTGGTAGAAAAAGAAAGCATTTGTGGGACTGCTGGACTCCAATGAAGTAAGAAGTTTTTAAACTAAGCATCAGTCTTAGTTTAAACTAAGCCTAAGAAGAACTTCACAAGCAAGGGAAACATTCTTGTCAGAGTACATAAAATGGCTACTGTCCAAAACAATATTAGTATTAAGTGATTTATGAAAAGGAAGTGTCACCTTGCAAAAACAGGATACAATCCAGTTTTTAAAAACTAGCAGAGAAAGATCCAGAAGAAATAAAATAGCAACCATGAAGTTCAAATAGCTGTCACTAAAATTAGAGTGAGACTTCACTGGCTTTGGGCTGGGGTTCAGTGGGATCCTACAAAAACATGCAACAGTTGGGCTTATTCTAGCTTTCTCAAAATGGGAGTTCATAAAAAATGCACAATACAGCAAAAACAGAACTCTTGAAAATTGTTGCTTGATTTTAAAAGTATACTTTTGAGAAAAGGCGCATAACCCACTGTCTTGCTGTACACTGTCCAGCTTGTCCTGCCTGACAGGGATGCTCATGTGAGTGACCACAAGACGAAGAGTTCACAAAGCTAAACCAGCATAAAACTAATTCTCCAACAAAGGCAATTAGCTTTCTGCTGAGGTATTCCCTGAATTAGTTCACCATGGGGTCACAGACTTCCCAGCCCACACCAAAGAGGGGACATGGGACACAGCCACAGATGGGGATCAAGGACCAGCCAGGCATCAGACTGCCTTGCTGCATTCATCCACCCACCAAGGCTGCTAAGAGTTAAGGAAAATGATAAAAATTTACTTAAACAAGGCTTAAAGTCAAATCAGTTCTCACCTACCTGAAAACATTGTGTGAAGCTTTTCCAGTACTTCTGCTTGGTCCAGCCATACATCAGAAAGAAATACAAACATGGCATTTTCGTTTTCCTCCTCCAGCTCCTTTAGTTTTGCAGAAGCTTTTACTGAAGTTGATGAAGGTCCTCCAAAAAAGTTTATATTCCCATAAAAGGCTCTACATCATTAAAATATTCAAGTTAGTTATTTTTTTTTCCTTCCCAAATCCTCAGCAGCTTTGATTATGTTTCTCTTAAACAATTTTAATTATGATAGGTAGCTCAGATGGTATCAATAATCATTTAGTACTTCATGAAGAAACCAAGGAAGAGAAACGGCAGTCACCTAGACATAAAGCAAGGGTGCTGCCCTGCCATAAATTAAAAAATCATAGAATCACAGAATGGTTTGGGTTGAAAGGACCTTAAAGCTCATCCAGTTCCATTCCCCCTGCCACAGGCAGGGACACTTTCCACTAGACCAGGTTGCTCAAAGCCCCATCCAACCTGGCTCATATCAGGGTAATGTTTATCCTGGGTTCTTTCCCACATTCATTCTTTGAACTACAAGGAATTTCTTATTCCCTTGTAGCAATTATCTGATTTTACGTCTGAGAAGGGCTTAGATCCTGACTGCTGTTAATATGCAGAACCCAAGGGTTTTTGAGAGGGTTTTTCTGTCAATACTGCAAGCTTTAGTGCTGGTCCGAGTAGACTAACAAGTCCCAGAACTGCTTCCTTAAAATTCTATTTATTTTGAAGCATTTGGGAAGGGAGAAGAATAGCATACTTTAATGTCACAGAAATTATAAAATAATGTGCTTATTAGAAACTCAAACCAAAATATGGAGTGAATCTGACAAAAGTCACTTTTATACCTAGTGTTTGCAGAAGGCTCAGTAGGTGGAAATCCAAAAGCATTCACATGAAAAACTTCATCTTCATACCAACCTAAGAGATTTTGGAACAACAAAATAACCCTTAGTTTTTCTAACAACGTCATGTCCTAGACATTAGTCAGACAAGTGGCAGCTGTGCTGCATAGCTAGTCCCAGCCTCCACCAATCCCCTTCTTGTGACTGCGCCAGTCCCAGTGCTGTTTAGTGGTGAACTAGACCAGAGAACTACCTGGCTGAAAAACAGGCTGAGCAAGAAACCAACTATTTTTATTTACCCCAGACACTTCTTTTAATGGATTTGTTGCAAAGCCACATAAACAACCTTCTCAACCCAACTAAGAATGTTTTGCTGGCCTTGCCCCAGAAGAGTCTCCATCAAACTGCACCCTTTCTCAAGAACTGTCTCACCTATTAGAGGAACAGAAACAATAGGGTGATACTTATCCCTGCTAGCAATTGTGCTCCTAAATTCTATTTACTTTACAAATTCTAAACATAAAACACATTATTTGAAAATAGACTGGGATTATGTACACTACACAGACCAATACTGCACAAACATAAATGTCCACTATTTTGTTAAAACAAGGCTCCAAACCTGCAAGCCATTACGTCATTTTAATGAAGACTCATTAAAGCCTCTGAAGGACCAAAGCTTTGCCAACAGAAAGCAGCATTTTCAGATTGTTAAATCACGCTTATTATTCTAGTCTGTCTTCCTAATCTAGTCATATCTCCTCCAAACATGTTGGAGCTAGGCTAACTGGGGCCAATCCACAAAGCTGCTACAGATGCTCACATCCCCTCAAAATCACTGAAAATCACAATTTTCAGAGTTCTGTGCCTTCAGAGCCCACATGGTAATAGGCAAGGCTTCTGGCCAAAAATCTCAGCCGCAAACTCAGCTTCTGGTCAAGCCTCATCAACCTGAGACTTGTCTGTTCAGCCATATCTGGGAGACATGTAACTGCAGCAATAGCCATTAACAGAATAAATTACTACAAGCTAAGAAAAAATAGTCTGCTTTACCTTCTGCCAAAACAAAGCATGATTCAGTATATAAGCCACTGTGGAACTGGTGCAGAAATGTTAAGAAATATATTTTTCTTAGATCAGGTCTCTTAAACTAGTTCTTCAGCCAAAGTTTGCTTCTAGCTGGTGTAATGCATTTGGACACTACTGAAAGTTCATAGGCTGCCTTTAAGAGCCAGGCAATTACCTGGTAACTGAGCAGGTAAGTTCATAAACAGCCCACAAACAGGAACACACTCTACTTCCACTAGGAGGAATACTAACCTTGTCCTAACACTATGAAAGGGCACTGAGCTGCAGCAATCAAGTGATTTGAAAAGAAGGAAAAAGAGCTGCAGTTCTCAATACATAATTTTAATGATCAGTATTGATTTGCTATTCAATTTAAAATTCTTCAGGCCTATAAGAAATTTTTTTCAACTCTTACATCACAAAAAAAGGATATTGCTTTACTAAGGTCTAGTTGGACGACTCCTGTAGGGTCTTCTAGGAAAAACTTCCCCTAAAAAACAGCATTCAGTAAAAAAGAAAAGTACACCCAAAGACATAAATGATTTAATCAGAAGCATCTATCAGTCAGCATTCAGAAATAATTTATCCATTTTTAATATTGCAAGCTTAGCACATACTAGCAGAACTGAAAACAATGTAGTTTATAGTAAGTGTATCTTAGCACCTTCCCTTTGAGCTGCTGCAGTTTGGACTGCTGGTGCACCCCTCCCCTACTAACAGAGTCCTGTGCAGTGCAAAGTCCAGTCATTGGAAGCTCCAGCATTTCAAGAAGGGGCACGCCTTAAAAGTGTATCTGGTTCTGGTTGCTGACACAAAGTACTACAAAATTCTGCAGTGAGAAGACAAAGACGTTTTGCCTCACACGCTAGCACCGACTGCTTGTGGAAATCACTGCTTAGGGAACGGTTCTTGCACTGCTGACGTTGATGAAGTTCTGCCACTAACTTATATGACAGGATAAAGTAGCAAGATACTGAAGTCTTATCATTTTCCAATATATTATAACACTGAATGAATGGTGACCTGGACACTCCACAATAAAAAGCAACCTACCTCCTTAAGCTGAGTTATCATCCCAAGCACAATTAGTTCTCCCACTTTGGCTGTACTGCCCAATAGAGCTTCTATTGTTTTAAGCTGGAACCAAAGACAAAGAATCAAATAAGAATTAAATCAAACTCTCCACCTATCTATTCACAAGCAGGCAAGACAAAGCACCTTACAGCATGTTTTTACATAATACACAAATGAGCTATGAGAGAATACAGACTCATTAGAAAATTCCATGATTCTATGATTAAAAATCAGGTGCAAATTTCTGAATGTCAAATGTAGCAAAGTTTAGGAAAAGATTTCCAATAACTGCTGCTAGCATAAAGAACTGCTTAGCGAGTAAATATTTATTGTGATTATTTTGCTTACAACTGGGTTAAAACTGAAAAGAATACATGGCAATTTCTGCTGTTGCTTATGAATGTCAGTCATAGGAAGTGGATCCCCAGCAGGGTCACAGGGCCAGTCTACCCCCCCAGAGTAACACTAATTACTTTTATCAAGGAACCTTTAACGGATGAGAGAACACTCCACAGTTAAGACAGGTAACATCACACAACATGCTGTCTGTGGTTTCTAGACAAACATATTTTGATCTGGCCAAACTGCAGTTAAGAGTGACAATCCTACAACACTAGCAGAAGTAATGCATTTGCCACTGCTGACAGGGAGGACAGAAAGCAGTCAAGGGAGAAAGATGCCTGCAAAGCCTCGATGGAGACAAAGACTCAACTCATCTAAGGTCAGTTTCTTTTTTTTCTGTATGATGGCATGCTCTGAACACAGAGAAGTAGGGAAGTTGAGCAGAGTTGTTATTTGGTACCCAGTGGCACACATATTCATCTCTTTTAAAAAATATGTAATAACTAGATAATATAGTGAGAGCGTTTAATGAGAAAGCTGAGATGGGAACAGAACAGACTGAAGTTATTACCTTGTTCAGTTGTAGGTTTGTGAATTCAGTGCTTATGAAAGTAAAAAAGCAGGGAAGATGCTCCCAAGCAGAGGGAAGCAAAGCATAATAAGCTGAATAGCTAATGTTCTTCCACGTCAGGAAGCCACATTTCTCTTGCACTTCACAGCTGCTTTTCAGTGCTTTGGTCAGGCTGAACTGAGCCAAATAACTGCATTTTTGACACACAGGCTAAAAATGATCAAAATTAACTCATTTCCAGTGATTGCTCATACTGGGTGCAAAACTAAGATGTCAATAGAGAACTATTACTGCAGTAAAGTATAACACAAGTACAGTTCCTTTGGAAGGGAGCAAAAAAAAAAAAGAAAAAAAAAAAGAAAAACAGATATTTTACCTGGAATTTGCTCCTACTCTCATCAGGATGAGAAACGACTGCTGGAGGAGTAAACAACTCATGTCTATGAGTCCTCTGCAGAAACCGAAATTGAAGTAATTCAGTTTAAAGATAAATGAGCACTGTCAAAAGGCCAGTTCATTCCAACCACTATACAAAATACTTTAAAAAGTTCTCTTATTCCATTTTGTTCAGCAATGTTTGTTTCTTACTCTGTTTTATCCAGCAACACTTGATTTGTTGAGCACAATCAGTTCTTTTGACAAGAATTTTCTTCTAGGAAATTGATGATGCTGAACAATAAAACTAAGCTCAAAAATGTAACATCAAAGCAACTGTAATGCTTCTAAAAAGTCATTCCTGCTACCTAGAAGGAAGGAGTGAGAGAGCAATGAAACATAAACTGTATTAAATGCTAACTGTGGTAATGAGCAGGTTTCTCTTCAGGGTGGGGCCTTATTAAAGCTAACCAATTTTTATTTTTTAGTAATAGCAGCAAGCTAAACTAAGAGATAAACTGCATGGAGCATAAAGAAAATTAATTGTAGGAATTTTCACTTCTTTCATTGTTTTTCATGCCGTCTGACAGCTTTCCCTTAGAACAAACCTATTGCTACCAGCCCATGTAATACACACACTAATTCCTACCAGCCACCCTCATCCACACAGTGAGCTGAACTTTCACTTTCCCAGAGGCTGGAAGGGAGTACCTATGATAACCAAACACAAAACCTGTACAACAGAGTCTCTGTGAAACTGTTAGGGTGCTATAGCACAATGCAGTCTAGTAAAAGCTTTCATGGACATCCAGCTGCTGTTCACAGAAGCCATGTTTTGTGTGAGTGTGCCCATTGCAGCAGGTTTCACTAATCCTAATCGCTGTTTGTATGAACTAAAACTTCTTCAGCTAATTGTTAACTGGTGTTCTAGGGGAGAGGTTCCCAAATTGCAGCATACATACTCCTAATGGCAGCATATTCCCTGGCAGACAAAGAGTTGTTACTGCTCTGGGGTATCTGACCCTGTGCATTCAACTACCATGTGCTCCAAAGGATGAGCAGTTCACACAGGCAGCCAGGTGCCTCCCTGTGCCTACAGGGTGGTACAGACAGAAACCTGTGCTCACCCTCTGTGTGATCAGCAGCTCACTCCCCATCCCGTCACTGCTCCCACTGGGATGCATGACAGAGAGAAGCAGAATGAGCAAGCACGTGACAGGGGGCTAAATCCCAGCCTGTGGGGTGAGTGGAAAAAAAAGGAAAGCACAGGTTTTTTACCCTGTTATGAGGGATAATCATTCAGTGAGTGTTGAGGGACTGACTCCTGGCTGTGTGCACTGAGCCAGAGCCACTACCTACAGCTGCTGTCAAACCTGCAGCTACGGTCACAGTGATGCAGAGCAGGCCATGTTGGGGAATCCTGTTCTGAAGCTGCTCAAAAGACAAGATGCATACTCCACCAGGAGATGACATGGGGTGGCTGGCTCTCACTGAGCATTTTGGAAACTGGAAAATGAAAAACTTAACTAAACCAGAAGTGAATTTCAATGCTCCATTGCTCCTCTGAATGAGAACTTCAGGTTTGCAGTATCTGAACAACCACTACATACAATGACATGCTAATCAAACATAGTGCAGAGTCAGACTACAGAAAGAAAAAGAGCAAGACACACATAAAATACAAAATTCTCTCTTATGACATGATGCTAACATGTAGAAACATATGAATCCATCATGCTGTATTGTGGCAGTTGAGACTGATAAACCTTAGTAGAAGAGATCCTGTTCCTACTCAGATTCAAACTGTAGCTCACAAAAGCACCTCAACACAAAGCACTGCTGTACATCTAAGAATAAAAAAAGTCCCAGCATTTTGTTTATGTATTTTGTTAAATAAAGCAAAACTTTTTTCTGACCTGTTGTAAGATGGAGTAGCGTTCACGAAACAACTCCGCTTTATCTCTGGCAGTTCCAAATAAATTTGGTACAGGAAAGTCGGTCATTGACAGACTGCAGGAAGTTTAACACAAGATTAAAAAAGGTACATTCCATACACAGAAATGACTTATTGATCTGAAAGTTGTAGGAGGCTGCAAAAGCTATAACACTACTGCATAATTTATTTACTCAATGAGGAAGATTTCTGCTAGGAATCCTGTGTTTCTGCACCTTGAAGGCTACATCCATTTAACTCCCCTTTAACTCACAGGCCTTGAGATTTATCTTTCCTGAACGGGACTCTGCAGAGATCAGTTTTTAAAAAAGGAGGTACACCTTTTAAGTGGCATGAAGAGTATTTTCTTCCTCTTGGTTAGCAGATTGCCTTCACAGAGGTCTCTGTTCCAATAGCCTGGAAAGCTAGAATAAAACTCCTACTGCAAACACAGATTGCTTTTGCTGGACTGTCAGAATCACAGGCCAAGGCTAGAATATGAAGTGCACATTACATGAAGGTTGCTGCAAGCCGTTGCAATGAACACCACTATCTATCCCTCAGCTAACACCACTCAAGCTTTTTAAAACCACAGCTTCTTTTTGGCTCAGCAGTTTGGGCTGCTTGCTGTTAAAGGTAAATTCTTTAGTCAGCAAATTATTTACAACCAATTCCTCCAATTACTTCTTTCTTTCTCTAACCTCCTGAGATACCAGTTGCTCCTAATTTTTCTTTTTTTTTTAGCTTTTGTAGCTCTCCTTAGAAATGCCTCAGGGCTTCATGCAAGCTACAGTCTAAGAAATAAATACATGCAACAGACAAAAAAAAATTAAACAGCCAAATTGGGGACGGGACCCACCAAAAAATAATCCAATCCTTAGTCTTACTGTCTCTTTTATTAATCAGATAGTATAAACATGATTACACATTCTACTATCTGATAAACACTGAAGTTTCACAGCCAGTAACATCACAGCAGCACAGAATACCCTGCTATGATAGATACAGGTCCCCATTTCAGTTTCATCCTACTGGACTAGGAAAACCCAATGGCACGTTTATTTATGAGACAGCATTCGTCATGGACTAGCTCTTCAGAGACTAAGAAACAAAACTGTCTCACTTTCTCATTCAGGTTTGAGATGAGTAGACCGAAGAGAAAAAGACTATAAACCAGAACTTTTAACCATATAGAAACAGAGGCTTTTTTCTTAAAACAAGAAATGGTTGAAACTTAAAATATTCTAGACTTACGGCAGAAACTTCTTTCTTTCTGAATTATAAATATAATGTGGAATATCAAAGGCTCCAATAATGTTGAAAACATTTTCTCTGAAATAAGAATACATTTACAACATTACCTAAAGTGGATAAAAGGGTAACAAAACATGCTGAATAAAATTATATTTGTGTTGCTCACTATCACCCTGCATTATCACCATTTCTCCCACATCACTCTACTTACTGGATACTACTGCACTAATTCAAAATAGGAAACTCTTCAGTAGTTTATTTAGACATGAGAGTAGGATACAACTCCTCCCCTTACCATCCTCTGCTATCTTTTTTGACAACAGAGCAGCCTTCGCATAGTTTATGTGAACAGGTTTAAAGGATGGACATGCACAACTCTTCAGATGATTAAAAGCTGATACATCCCATTATATTTACCGGTTCATCTCTCTCCTCTGATGACTCTCATTTCCCTCTTACTGTGAGTGGATCAAATTCATCAGAGTAGATAATACTATCCCATGAACCTCCACTAAGGTTCATGGACAACCATCACTGCCCATCAAACATTGACATCTTAGGCTTCAGAGTGCATTTCTTATAAAACTTTGCCTTCAAGCTTTCTGCATCATAATTCCAAAGAGTCATAGAGGCTGGCCCTGTGATCATAGAGCTTTTCCCTTCAGATCTTTGTATTACGAAGCTATGCATACAGAGCTCTCTTCAATTCTGAAGCGAAAAATACATTAAGTATAGAAAACGACACAAAGAAAAGTCACTCTCAAACTGTCTGCGTCATAAAGGTTCCAACAACAAAGAAAAGTAGAAACCAAATTTGCTTCATATTGAGAAACTGCGGGTATCTAACTGACATGCCTACCAAACCATTTATTCTCATGCTTTGCATTATGATGCCAATACACAACATAAACACTAAAGGAAACACATTCATCACAATCACAAATTAAGTTCTCAGAAACTCAAGTAATTGTTCTCTGTTTTGTTATTGGAGAGTGGAAATCAATCAGCCCTGCCATACAAAAAAAGCAGAAACAAGCACCATGGAGGAAATTTCCAAGTGCTTTCAGAAAAGAAGTATATTATGAAAGGCAAAAAAAATAACAGAGAATTTTTATCTAGAGAAAAGCAAATAAAGACATGAATGGAAATAATAAATTCTCTCTACATTGGATTATTTTATTGGTTAATATTCAACCTGTGTCACATGTAACACGTAACCACAGCATTTTAATTCCAGAATGTCAGCATTATATTTAGAATTCCCTGAAGGCCTATCCGTGAGAACAAATTGTCTAAGAAGGAACATTACTAACCTTCAAAGACAGTACCAGGAAGACAAAAGCACAAAGCAATTACTGCATGTGTAGCACTGCAGAAAACGCCTTACATTTATTTCCTGAGAAGAACCAAGAGAATGCATACCAACTCCCATAAACCTCAAATGAAAAAGAATGTTACTGTACATGGTTTCATCTGATGCCTGGCTACATTCTTGGACAGCTGCTTCCACTGCAGATTGTTCAACCATATTAGATGACACTGAAAAGAAAATTTCAAAGGATTAAAACTGCAGCCTGTGGAAAGCACTGAGTAAGAAAGTAAATAGGTCTCAAGTATCTTGCAAATAATGGTTCAATCTTCTCAGAGGAATTTATTACACAAATAAGCGTATTTTCAGTAAGCTAATGAAACACACTTTTCTCTTTAGAAAATGATCACTTAATATTCTTACCAGGATAAATCTCTAGTGAAAAAATAACCCCCACACATGCTGCACCCACCATTAATTCACTAAACATGGAGAACAAGACAATTATAGTTCAGGCAAAGCTGCCAAATATACTACAAATGTGTCAGATCTGAGCTTTCACATTCTAGAGGTTAATTTTATTCCAGAACATTATCACACAGATTGCTGTCATAAATTTTAAGTATTCAAACAGTTTAACACAATTTAGGAGATAGGCATGTTGTTGTCTTCATGCATTTATATTGATAACTGAAATTAAAAATATTTCTAAATACCAATGTTTTGTTGAACTTGAAGGAAAGACCAATCAATGCAGACTGACAAAACGACTTGGCCTACATTACCAAGGATAACTGCTGGGCTCCCAGAATAGAAATAAGTGAAAACTTGCTCTTGAGTTCCCTATTCAGGGCATGGGACTTAAAATCACAGTTCCTGTAAGATGGGGACGAACAGCAGAGCAAAAGGGACACTAAGGGAGCTTAGCAAGACTCACAGGAGAGACCAGCATTCTGGTCTACAAGCCTCCAATGACTCTCAGACATGAGCTGGACAACATGGGAATTTATAGCACAAAATTATGTCCTAGACAAAGACATATTGGGAATGCACCAACTGCACATTCTACATTGGCCCTACAGCTTCTTGTACTGATAGGAATTCGTTCAAAAATGTGGACGCATTAATTTGTACCAGCAGGCTTTATGCTGGTACATAACCAGGACATGATCTGGTGAAACCTCATCTGGAATATTGTGTCCAGTTCTGGGCCCCTCAGTTTAAGGAGGACAGGGACCTGCTGGAGAGAGTCCAGCGCAGGGCAACTAAGATGATTCAGGGAGTGGAGCATCTCCCTTACAAGGAAAGACTGAGGGAGCTGGGTCCCTATAGTTTGGAGAAGACTGAGGGCTGACCTTATTAGTATATATAAATATATAAAGGGGGAGTGTCACGAGGATGGAGCCAGGCTCTTCTCAGTGGCAAACAATTATAGGACAAGGGGCAATGGGTACAAACTGGAACACAAGAGGTTCCACTTAAACTTGAGAAGAAACTTCTTCTCAGTGAGGGTGACGGAACACTGGAACAGGCTGCCCAGGGAGGTTGTGGAGTCTCCTTCTCTGGAGACAGTCAAAACCTGCCTGGACACATTCCTGTGTAACCTTATCTAGGTGTTCCTGCTCCGGCAGGAGGATTGGACTAGATGATCTTTTGAGGTCCCTTCCAATCTCTAGCATACTGTGATACTGTGACCAGTTCTTCAAACTACTTTTACTCCCTTTTTGATCAGTTATGATCTGTTATTCCATGAATAGTGGAAGAACACAGTCATAACTTCTGTAGTCTATTCTCTAGTAAAACTCTGGAACAAGCATGTGACCACTCTAGATTTAATTAGGTTTGAACAGACTACACTGGGAGTTTCCTGAACTCATCTAAGGCCTAGTATTTGAGAACACATTAATCTGGATTTCAATCTTCTTGGCCAAAAACTGGAAGTGAGCCCAAGTTTCCTATTTCTCATGAGCTCTGATCAATAAACACATATATGTCAGGCACATACGACACATATATGTCAGGCATCACACCTGTCAGTCACATTCTTTAACTGAAGGTGCTACAACTCATGTTTTGTGCTGTCAGACTGTGTCAAGTGTATTTTGACCTACTATCCCATGCCTTTCATGGTGTACAGGAGCACTGGATAGGACATACTGTCCCAGTTAAGGAGGTAGTCTTCAGTCAGAATTCCTGCCAAGATGTGGAGTTTTGGGCATGCTCAGAACCAAATGCGTGATGAAAACTTTACCAGAAAAAGCTTAACTCTCCAAGCTTCATGTTTTTATGGGATTTTCCAGGAGTTTTCTGGATAGCAATTTTGGACTTAGTAATTTATAGACTCTGATGTACTTTCACATGCCACGCTGGTATAGCTGCTATAGTGCCCCAGCTGTTATCAACACCTTCTGCCCAATGTTACTATCCTGAGATTAGGTTCACATAACATCAGCACCTGCCTTGCTGCTTTGGAGAACAGCCAGGTGATGGTAAAACTCCAACCACAGTAGGTATAAGTTAGTATGCTGGACTATTACACTGGGCCACTTGTATCTTGTACTCCACTTGCATGTGAGAGCAGTCATCTCATGAAGGAATGCAACAGTTTTCTTCTTGCAGTCACAGCTAGGCTCCTCAGATTAGAGCTGCCAACAACCCTTTTCCATACCTGGACTACTGAATAACAAGTTAATTAAATTTTTCATTATTTCTTTGGCTTATTTTAATATTTAAAATCACAGTTTTAGATGCAAAGATGTCCACACAAACTCAGCCAAGTGCTTTTAGTAACTGGCATTAAAAAATTTCACAACTCTTGGAAAAGTCAGGAGGTACCAAGCTGCCAACTTTTTTAATGTCATAAATATCTTTTGCTGCCATTACAAACTTCAGTATTTAACAGAACAAAATGCCAACAAAGACATTTATCTTGATCAACCCAGAGACTAGAATGATACCTCAGTGCATATGCTGCCAGTATCTCTTTGTCCCAATAACATTCAAAGCACAAGACAAAGTTTGCAAGCTTAAGAAAAATAAATTGTTTACTTACAAGGCTGTTTTTCGACGGCATCAATGACATTTTCAATTACATCATCAAGTTCTACTTCACTGATGGACTGAAGAGCTTCAGTAAGGTACTTTAGAGCATCCCTAATTCCAGTAAAGAAAGTCAGCTCAAAAAGCAATTAATATTCAATACCGTTTATACAAATTATGCCAATTTTGGCAGATGTGCACATAATCACTAAACGGCTTATGACAAAAAAAAGTAGAAATAATCAGTATTGTGTAACACTGCACTAGTTAACAAGGACAAAACTCATCAGGATTGAGAACACTGAGGATAAGCAGATAGAGAACCTCATTTTCATACAGTCATAGAAAGATTAATGTCAGAAGGGACTGCTAACGTCCAGCTTTCTGGTCTAACAGCATAGGCTGGTCATGTTGCACAGCACTGTAAAGTCAAATTCTGATCATCTCCAAGAATGGAGCTCTCACCCCTCTCTTGGCCCTGTCCTGGTGCTTCACGACTCTCTTTGTGAATTATTTATTCATAAGACTGTAGAAGAGCCCACACTGGAAGGGACCTCTGCAGACCATCTGGTCCAACTTTCTACTGCAATTCAGGACCCCCACTGAGCAAAGTCTTCAGTATTTCCAGTGAGGGAGAGTCCACCACTTCTCTAGTCTACATACTCCAAAGTTTATTTGTTCTTACAATGAATATTTTAACATTGCCTATTTCCTCTTGCCCTGTCACTGTGTATCCTTGAGAAGAAAGTACCTGTGTATTCTCTATAGCCACCTTTTAGGAAGTCTGGGATTAACCAGATCATAGAATCACAAAATCACCGAACAGGCTGGGTTAGAAAGGACCTTAAAGATCATCTAGTTTCAACCCCCTGCCACGGGAAGGGACCCCTCACACTAGACCGAATTGCTCTAAGCCCCCTTCCAACCTGGCCCACATCACAATGCGAGACCCTGGGGCGCGCCCCGAAAGCGGGAGCTGGGCTTGAGGAAGCCATGAAAATACCCTCCCCGAGCGGAGCGGGTCCCGGCGAGACGCTGGGTCGCGCCGCGCCCCCCGCCCCAATCCCGGCGATACTCACGCCCGCAGCAGGAGCCCGCGCAGCCGAAACGCGGAGCTCAGACGGCGCCGCAGCCGCTCCGGCTCCATCGCGAGCGATTGGCGCCAAAAGGCGACTCCGCCCCCATGCCCTGGGCCTGCCCCTGCCCCGCGGCGGGCGGGGGCTCCAGGGCCGCCCCGCGAGGACGGCTCCCAGCTCTGGGCCTTCAATATAGGACGGACCCGAAGTTGTAGAAGGAAGGCCACGTAACTGCTCAGAGGGCTGGAGCAGCTCTGTTATGGAGGCAGGCTGAGTGAACTGGGCTTGTTCAGCCGGGAGAAGGTTTTATTTCAGTTAGGTATTTGTTAGAAGCTCTTCCCTGTGAGGGTGCTGAGGCACTGGCACAGGTTGCCCAGAGAAGCTGTGGCTGCCCCATCCCTGGCAGTGTTCAGGGCCAGGTTGGACAAGGCTTGGAGCAGCCTGGTCTAGTGAAAGGTGTCCCTCCCTGCCTGTGGCAGGGGTTGGAACTGGATGAACTTTAAGGTCCTTTCCAACCCAAAACACTGTTATGATTCTTACAGCTCCTTTCCCTGTAGGCTCTGGTGCAGGTTGCACTCTTATCTCCAGTAGTCCAGCCTCTGTCCAGCTTCAGTTTTACCTGCCATAAAGCATCCATCATATTACAACTGGCTGTGAATAGGTCTTGCTTGTACCCCGTGCCTGAGCCTTGTTTTCACCTGTTGATGTCTTCAGTGTTAGACGGCATGGGATATTTCTCCCCCATTCTTCCTTTCTTCTCACGAGGTTCACAAGCCCTGGACGGGGGCTGTTACAACCTGCTGTTTGTTCGTTGCTTGCTTGTACAATTCCATTTGTAATTCTGCTATTAGGCTCTTAACACACCAACAGTAATGTCCCACGTGGTTGCTAAACTCCCTAGGACATTTTTCAGTTGACCAAGAATTAAGTTTAAGGTGAACTCTCAGTTCTGCAGTTTATCACTACTCATTGTGTCAGCACTGTCCAACAGAGACCCCTTCCAGTAGGTATACAGCACAATAACCCTGTGACTCAGTTCCTCTCTTGTGGAGTAGCTCCTTTCTCTCCAGAGAAAAAAATGCAAGGTATTTAATTCGAACACTCTGAGCCTTGTCTCTCAAAATACAGCTTCATTCCACAGAAGGCCCACAGAACAACTCTGAAACTTCCTCAATCAAAAGACTGCAGGGATATAAAGATGGATAAAAAAATGCCAGTCCATTCTTGACTACATAATTTATAATCACTCCTCATCTGGGAGCAAGCTCATGGGTGAAGCTGTATCTACTCTCTTTAGACAAAAAGCTACTGTCTGACAAGTCTCAGCAATTTTGGCAGGAAATATGACCCATTTTTCTTCTCACACATGCAGCTAGGTGCAAATTAGGAACCCCCATCTTACATAAGTTCTTATATTTGCTAAGATTACCACTTTTTTCTTTCAAGAAAATCTGATGTTGACATTTAACTCATGTCTCACCTGAAGAAGGAAGGTACACCTGGAGAAGGAATGTACCTCATCTAAAGAGCAACCAGGAACATAAAGCATACTCCTACTGCATCCGGCTATATTTGGGGTTCTGCTAGATTGCCTGGAGCCTCCCACCAGAGATATAAAGGTATTCCTGCGTGAACTGTAGGCTTCTGTTCCACTGGGCCATCTGTCTGGAGCTCTGGAAGCTGTGCCCAGCTCTTCATCTCTGATGCTGGACATCACAGCGCTACAGTCATAGCACATGTGGCTTGAGGGCAGAAAGCCAGCCCAGACAGCCTCATGGTTTACAATCAAACAGCACATCTTCTTCATGCCAAAGGTGAATCGACAGAATTGTTTTGTTACACAAAGCACAAAAAATATCTTTTTCATGGCCAACACTGCTTTACTGGCAAAAACATGGGCTGCTGACTTTGCACATCTAAGCTGCTTTCCAAGACATCACATTGTAGCTCTACTTGACCTGTAGATTCACAGATAGTTTGCCTGTTACCCACATTTTTCTTAACTCTTCCATATGCTTATTCCAGTGTTTTAACCATCATCCCAATGCATCATCATTACATTTCTTCATTCTAATATGACAGGAATAATCAATGTCTTCCCTCCTAGATCCAACAGAGGAAGTATGTATCTCACTTTCACAAGAAAATCTTTACAGTTACTTTTCAGTGTCCTTTTACAAGACGCTAAAGTGCTCATTTCTCACATGCTCTACTGCTCTGAAGAGCATTACCTGACTTTTTTGATTCTCATTCATTCCAGCTGGTTCCAGTTCAGCTGGAACTCACTGGGTTGTTGATCTAACACTGTAAGAGCTGGAATGGCAGTGTAAGAGGCTCTTGCTTTTCCCAGCCTGCTGTTTAAGAGCAGGCTAATCTATAGAGAAGACTATATCGTGGTGGGAATAGCAGGGAGCAGAGATCCCTCAAATAATGGAAAATGCATGTCATGGAACATGATAGGAAATGACTCATGGAGATCCCAACATCAGCTTTATCCTGTCAGTTACCTCTAGCTCAGCACTGGCCCCAGTACATAGGTACTGCACAGCACCTTTGGTATTCTCAAGTATTCCACCATGCCAAAGCATGTAGCTTCTTGCTTAAGTCTGCTTCCAGGCTGCAGATTAGAGGACAGCCCTCACAGCATCAACTCTCTAGGGTAAACAGTTTGAACTCCTATACAGCTGTAATTAACACCAGCTGCTATTTTACAGTTGGTGTTTCTGGCAGGAGCATAACTTGCTTCACCTTTGGAGAGATGGTGTTTTGCTGTGGCTGTCTTGAACTACCTCCCATGATAAGACCCAACACTTTCCACTCTTGCACTGGATTTGTGTTTAGGGATTGTATCATTGGTGCTCATTCCCTCCTCTCATACTTTGTTCACAGGCTTCTGCATGGCTTATTAAGCCTTCCCGAAGCCGTCCTGCACGCCTCAGTGGGCAGATGGCGGCAGCCTGTATCCACACTGCCAGGGCCTCTTCCAAGAGCTGTGCAAGGGCAAACCTAGCGAAGTACATCCACGCATCTGCGTTTGCGGCCTGCCCCGGCTGCAGCGCCACGGGAGCAGGGGGCAGAGGGAAGGCCACGGCCCGCGCGCACCGCTGGGAGGCACGGCGCGCACCTCCAGCCCCCGCCTGGCAGCTCGGCAGGCGGCCGCGACGGGACTTGGGGGAGACCGCCATAACCCCTGCGCTTAGGGGGAGGGTGACGCCCCACACTTTGAACCCTCCTCGCTTCCCGTCCGCCTGAGGGGAGCGACCGGCGGAGAACTGCAACCTCTCCCCGAGGAGGCGGTGGTGGGACGCTAACGCGAGCTGCTGCTGCTTTTTCTTCTTCTTCCTCCTCCTCCTAAGATGGCGGCGGACTCCGCGGAACAGTTTCGCGTGGCCGAGGAGCGGAGCGGCCACTGCGCCGTGGTGGACGGGAACTTTCTCTATGTGTGGGGGGGATACGTGGTAAGGTGGGAGGCGGCGGCCGGAGGGCGCTGGGGCCGAGGACGAGTGGCGGAGGGCAGTTGAGGGGGAGAAGCGAGAAGCCGCACGGGGGGAACTGGCCGGAGGAGACCGGGGAGGGAAGCTAAACGGAGAGAGTGCCTCAGCACCATGCTGCCTTGCCCCGAGTCGCCCCTTTAGTCGTTGTAACCCCTCGGCGAGCTACCAGAGCACTGTTTACCTCAGCGCGGGCGCTGATTAGTTGTAGGGGCAGCGCGCCCCGCAGGGGCGGGCATTTTAAATGGTGGCTGGGGGGCGTGAGGCGCTAGTGGTTGCTCTGAGGAGAAGAGTGCGAGGGAAGGGGTGTTCGTCTGTGTGCTCTACCCCACCATTTTCTTGTTTTCTTTTTTTAAGTCCTCATAGCTCTCTCCTTCGTTTTCAACTGCTTCCGTCATGGAGCATGTATTGGGGAATGGCTGGTGGAGCCGGTTTGTTTCGCATTTCTCACAGACGTGCGGTTCCTTTGTACTCCGGGAACACTTCTCTCATCTTCCTTCCTCTCTGGGGTGACGGTTATAATTTGCGGCTTTTTTCCCAGTGTGTAATTCCTGTTCTTGTTCCGGAACCCCTGCATTTTTTACCTATTAGTAGTTGTATGCTACGTACAGTGTGCTTTCCTCCTTCTGAAAGCAGTTCTGTCACTTCAAAAAATAAGCCTGTGGCAGACTAAAACCACGTTGGTTTGGGTTTTTTTTTTTCCATTGAAAGATCAGTTCTAGTTCTGGCATGAGTAAATCCTTGTAAATCTTACCTTTGCGTGAATTCAGACCAAAAGAGAGCTGTGAGTGATACTACATTAACCACAGCCAGTTCGTTTTACCCAGTGTCTGTGCACATTGGCGCTAAAATGTGAAAGTACTGTGCTTAGTGCTACTGGTTTTGGTCAGCGTCTTGTGTTTCTATTAACATATTCTGTATTCTTCTATCTGTATTTTTCATGGGTTAAGGTAAACTTTCCAATGTGCAAAGTTTGTCCTTTTGTACTCAAGCAAAAAATTTTGTCTGGGGACTCCTGGATTTAGATTTGAAAATACATTATGTGTTATGAGTGTGTGCCATAGCAAAGGGAAGGATGTTTCTAGGGCTCTCGGGTTATTAGTTGTCATTTCCTGAAGCATATTATAGTTTGCTTCCTGGAAGCTGGAAAAAATTGTTGTTGGTTTTGTTTTGTGGGCTGTCTTTTATTTGGTTTTGGTTTGTTGTGGTGTTTTGTGTGTGTTTGGGTTTGTGGGTTTTTTTGAGGTGTTTTTTTAATTTTGTTTAGTTTTTGTGAATTTATCTATCTATATATATAACTAAAAAAGTTAGACTTCAAAGGTGGGGGAGAGGTGGGCAGCTCATGGAATTTGAGTTGCTCTGCTCCTAACTTATATGCATATGACCTTTAAAGGGTTGTGCTGACAGTGACTACTGAAATACTGAAAATACAAGCAGACAATATGGAAATACAAGCCCTCAACAGTGGGGAGAAGCAGGACAGTAGGGGTTTGCAGGCTGGGTTACCCTGGCATGCTTTCTTCTGCCCATTGGATGGCCATTACCAAACTGTAGTAAAATTAAGGAACCTTCAGGAGCCTGTAAACAGTTTTCACGCTTTTCTTTGTTTGGGGGGTCTTTGGTAGGTAGTGT